TGGTAATGTCTATGACGAGTTTACTTCTTTTAGCATATATGTAATGTATTTGATACATATGTGGCCGGTAACATAGTTCTCACAGACTTATCAGATGCACCTATCCAACGTTAGATTAATTGTGCTGGTATCAACGTCAACAAAGATGTCTTTCCTTTTATATTTTCAATAATTCAGCCTACTCAACTTGTCAGTCACTATATCTGTAATTACTTATGTAGCTTCATCTCCATGTCACTAGATTGTAAACGTTCAAAACCATACATTTTCCTCGGTATTCATTACAGTCCATCCCTACTACAATCGTAAGAGAGCATTCCTGTTAAGATTGCTTTGTTGTTCACTGCCTATCATAAGTGAATGTTTTCCAAGTTAAATAGTTCTGTTGACCAACAAATTGCCAGGGTCTCCTTCACGAGATAATTCTATCTACGCTGAAGAGATTGTACAGTCGTCCTCTTCGCCTGCTTTTCTCCCTAAACGATTCCAGTGCTTACCATGATAATAGACCTGATGTCTACATTGTTAGGGATTTTTTTCTTGTATCTCGAAATTATGGCAGTGGTTATGTGAGGTACAGCAACTTAAGTGACAGCTAATTGTCATCAACCTATGTTGTGCTGGTTGTGTCTCCTGCACTTTTGATGTCGATCAGGTTTTTGTACCGGCTTAGAGTACGAGTCTTGTCCTGGTGTGTTATAGATGTTTTTCGTGTTCTACTTTATACTATTTGGCAATAAACTGAGAAGTGATATGCGCATGTACATGTTGTATGACGGAATAGGTAACGAGGGCGAGAAAATGTTGGAAAAATAATTAACAAAAAGCCTCTTAGGTCTGAGTAAAATATTTTCAAAACATTTCCGAAAACCTAGTTAAATATTTCAACATAATACATAAACAAACAGAATGCACATATGACCTAGATATTCGAATTATTTTAACTCTTGTGGGTTAAAACAATGTCAGGCAGTTTTCCTCATTTATTTCTTTAACCTTGGCATGTTCCGGTAGGAGCAAGCACACCTCATAATTCACTTGTTTAATTTATCGTAAATATTACTAAAAATATTAAAGCCATAGAACATGCAGTTTGCTTGCTGCCAATAGTGATATGAACACCCAACAATCTTTGTTTATAGTCAATGTTTTGGTTTTGCGATGAAACATATGATAAATAATAAATACCCATTTCGTCAATCAATAAAAAACATTTATCGTACAACAACACAAGAAACCAACAATTGACAGATTCATAAACACTATTTTTAGTGACGTCATGGTATGAATTTTGAAAGATAACTATCGAGAACTATAGGTCTTCAGCACATTTAGAAGTTTAACAAAAACATATTTTGTTTGTTATTCAGATAATCTTGGAATATATTTCAAACAAAAATGCATGTACAATTTCCTAACAGGGGAATTCGAAACCAGTCATGCGTTTGTTTTGTTTCATTCGTAACACGGAGGAGTACTTTGGAAGAGCGTTGCAACTGCATGTTTCGCAAAACAATCATACACACGCATTATACATGTACACTCGTTATTAACCAATGAAAATTGTCGTTACATCTCAGACGTAGTATAATACAGTATAACTAATGAGGGAGATACAAGGGCGCATTATTATAACTTAGAGATACATAAACGACTTATTTAAGGAATGATTTTTATTTTTTCAACATTTATGAGGTCATAACAACAATGGGTTTATGGACATATTGAATGAATCGCGTTAGCGATTCATGTAAAATATGTCCAAAAACCCATTGTTGTTATGACCTCATAAATGTTGAAAAAATAAATATCATTCCTTATATTTACATTGACGAATCCTTTCAGTGGATCGATATAACAACGAATAAAACAAATAAACAGGGTTTGTTCCTGCTTATACACGGGTGCAACGCAGTGGCGAGAACAGTGTTTTTTCGCGGGGAAATGTGACACTATCGTGAGAGATCTTAGCAACCGTCAACAACAATAACACAACAAAATGTAGTTCCATATTCAATGTTTATTTGTAGCACAGGACACGTGAATACGTGGATATTTCACCAAGCACAGTTCAATAATATTTTAAGATGTAAGAATTAAGCATCTAGGTCGGTCGTTCCGAGTGAGTTGTTTTTGTAGTGTATTATTACGCAGTGTGATCAGGTTACTATCAGTTCCCACGTGCTGAGATTCTATGAACACCTGTGTTATGCATTTATGAATGTAATTTTTTGTCAATGGGTCTAAGCATACAGAATGTAAATATACACAAATATTACGTCTGTAAGCTATCAGCATCGTTGTAGAAATATCCATTGGGTTTTAACACAGCTTTCTCCTACAACTAAAGTAGTATATTTATATAATATATTGTCTGATGCGTTTGTTGCTAAAAGGTGATGACATGTTCCGGCATCAGCCGTAAGTGTTAGTAAGATAGTTGTTCGACAATACAACAACAGTAATATTATATCATTAATAACAAAAAATATTTAATGGTCTGTAACAATTTATGTTTGCATTTCAGAAGGAGACCATATTCTGTAGATTTTTTAAGGTATTAGTTTTATAATCAGCTTAACTATCAAATATCTTTTCGTTATATATTATATATTTTTACATAGGTAAGGCATGCGCAATGGCGCACATTGCGAAACATTAGGAACACCACATAGCTATAACTGAGAACAATTACAACACCTAACCTATTGAGATAGACACGCGTTATAGAGTATAGTTTATAATTACAAATCATCCGGTTTGCAATGCCATATCTGATCCATTCATGTTTGTAGATTATATTGTGTTAAGCACACAGTGCTTGTATCGATACAAGCCTGCAGGCTATTGGTAACTTGTCTTCTCTTTATCTTTTCCAGTGAACATGCAATTGTATATTGAACTTCGTTCCTGATAACAATTTAGTGACATTCACACTGATGGGCCGGGGGAAATGAGGGTCGAGGTGTTTGAGGATAGCGACTAGATATGAGGGTGCTGATAACCCGGCCTCCTCCCGTCCGCACCTTATCTCAGCTATTTGGCCGTACAGCAAAGTGCGGGTTATATTCGAACGGATCAATACAGCTATCTTATGCGAGCTCTGTAAAAGATCGCATGGCCACATTTTGGTATTGTCAACATGGATAATTGTATAAATTCGCTATGACAATGTGCCTCAGTATCTTAAAATTTGAAGAAAATATCCACGACTGTTCTTTTTTTTTACCTTACATTCTTAATGTGTGAATATGAAATTGAAACAGTCCTCTATTGATTAAACATTTGGAAACAGACTTGAAAACATTGATTTAATGCAACTAACATAGGGATAAAAATAGCCTCTTAAACTCAATATTCTTACCATAAGGATGCTTACACTATGTTGTTTTAAACAATAGGAAATCGCAAAATCGTACATGCTTTTTTCATTCGTAGGTTTCTTGCCATTTTTTTTGTTATTATGGAGTGTTAAACATAGATGCATTATGGATATTAATTCGGATTTGTTTTTTAAATATAATAAAAAAAGACATGGAGTTGGTTTAGCTTATTGTTTTATGTTGCACCAACAATACTTACCAAAAAAGACCCAACATCTGTATAAATGTTAGTTGAATCCAAATACAAACTAAACATTCTTATAATGATAACTCAATTAGAAATTGTATTTTTACCTCATGTTATAATATATGTAATTGTCAATACAAAAAATCTCTAAATGGGCGATATGCATGAAAATAAATTGTTTAGACTAGGTTTTCGAGACGTGTGACAAGGCAGTGATATAACACGTGAACCAGTTATTAGTATCTTATTACGGAAGCCTATACGTGTCCACAACCTTGTTCGTAGGTCGTCTCAAAGCGGTTCACAAAGTGTTACCCGTGGTTATAAGGCATTTGCAGCCAGCCAATATCTTTCTCAACTCCCTGGGAAGCATACAGCCGGTGCAGCCATTTCGGCGCTCACAGCTAGCATTTAACAATTCTAGCACTACCCAACCACGTACTTATTTACAGCTGAGTAGACTGGAACAAGCGGAGTAAAGTATCTTGCTCAAAGATACTACAGAGTGCCGTGACGTGACTCGAACCCATAACCCTTCGGTCACGAGCCCGGCGTCCTAGCACTAGACTACCGTGCTATTTTGTACATGAATTTTGAAATCATATCATCTCTCTATATCGATGAACTTTCAAGTTCAAGGTGAATATAAAATTGAAATAGAATCGGACATATAATGTACGTGCTGCCCCTTATAGTGTATGAACAGTCGTCGCCAAAAGACATAATTCTAACATATTGTAGTACCTTGGGGTTTTACGTTCTCTACATGCCGCATGGACATGGGGACACAACAGCTCGACAAATGGCTTCCATCAAAACACGTTGTATTTTATTCATCGAGTACATACATACAAATAACAGGTAAGACACGGAGGACTTTGACCCCATCTTATTTGGTTGTATTAAAAACCGACATATACAAAGACCGATAAGGACCAATATGATGCAGGGTAACCACTACATTACACATATGTTCAGCTGTCTCCTTGCATCCATTAGTGCCCTATCTAGCGCTACAGCTAGATGCTTGCTTTGTGACAGTTTGAGCTGACAACGGGCTTTTTTAATCTAACGTAGGAATGTCTCTCTCTAACTCAAAATGTTAGGGAGTCTGTTATCGGTAGGCTGCAAGGAGTAGCCAGCAAACCAACCATCATGTACTTTTAACCCAGCATCAGATGCTTAAACCAAGCACGGGAGTCACCTCTCCAAGTAGGTTATACTTCAAACAAGCATTTGAGACTAACAACCGTTGATATTGTATTTAAAAGGGAATATGCATACTTTAACACGCATTGGAGACTTCAATCAAACAACCATGCGTAATGTTAAACAAAGCATGCACTACTTCTTACATGTATGCATAACGTCCAATCTTCAAACCAATCATAGTTTATATTAAACCAAGCTATCGAAACTTTTAACCAAGCATGCAACACTTTGAACCAAGCATGCAACACTTTGAACCAAGCGTGCAACACTTTGGACCAAGGGTGCGACACTTTGAACCAAGCGTTCAACACTTTAAACCAAGCATGCAACACTTTGAACCAAGCATGCACCACTTTGAATCAAGCGTGCGACACTTTGAACCAAGCGTGCGACACTTCGAACCAAGCATGCAACACTTTGAACCAAGCATGCAACACTTTGAACCAAGCATGCAACACTTTGAACCAAGCATGCAACACTTTGAACCAAGCATGCAACACTTTGAACCAAGCATGCAACACTTTGAACCAAGCATGCAACACTTTGAACCAAGCATGCAACACTTTGAACCAAGCATGCAACACTTTGAACCAAGCGTGCGACACTTCGAACCAAGCGTGCGACACTTTGAACCAAGCATGCAACACTTTGAACCAAGCATGCAACACTTTGAACCAAGCATGCACCTCTTTGAATCAAGCGTGCGACACTTTGAACCAAGCATGCACCACTTTGAACCAAGCGTGCGACACTTCGAACCAAGCTTGCGACACTTTGACCCAAGCATGCAACACTTTGAACCAAGCGTGCGACACTTCGAACCAATCATGCAACATTTTGAACCAAGCATGCAACACTTTGAACCAAGCGTGTGACACTTTGAAACAAGCGTGCGACACTTTGAACTAAGCGTGCGACACTTTGAATCAAGCGTGCGACACTTTGAACCAATCATGCAACATTTCAAATCAAACAAAGACACTTAATACAAACAATGCAATACAAAGAAAGCAAGCGTGCGATATTTCGAAAAAGCATAACAAGCAAGCCAAATTTCAAACCACGCGTTTGGGACTTTACGACAAATCAAACAAGCATGCAAAACTTCCAGAAACACGTCAGACCAAGCATGTGATACTTAAAAACCATGTAATACCAGACACACATACCAGACTTTAAAAGCTTAGTATTTCTAAAACTATATTGATCTAAACCGGATACAGCTGTACCATTAAACCGATTAAACAAATTTGAACAAACGTATGGAAATAACCTCTAATGTTCGAGTAACAGAAACAGGAATCTTCAGTGTTCAAGCTCTATATATTATATGATAAAACCTTTCTGGAACAGCGTTTACCGGATTATCGGATCTCAAATTAAAGAATCTGCACTACAACTTGTCGTCATCTTTTTCCCTATGGCTGTCCTCTGTTTGCTTACGACAGGGAGGGTATTGGTGATCTACTCAGGTAAAAAGATGGTATAGGTGTAAAGTACGTGCGTGCATGTCTCATGCAATGGAACTGATCAATATATCATCAATGTAGACTGGCATCCACATAAAGTGGAGCCAAGACACATGTTCTCAACATCGGCAATCATTACCAGTTCGCGAGATTAGAAGACTAAAGTAACATGTGTGATCGTGTAAGCTTTCGGCACATATTTGCTTTAGCATGAAGTTAAGATATCGGAAGACCATTTATACACACACTGTGTACTTGTCTGTAGGGCACTGTTAAGAACCCAGAGTAACAAGATAACGCCTAATAAAATACAGTACGTGAAATTGTCGTTGACAATGTGGGACAAATTGAGATGTTGCACCACAACGGGCACCAAAGACACAATGTAACATGTCAGCGAAAACATGTTTTCGGAGAGATTTAAAAACACTATCTATACACATAATTGATTGAATTTCTCTATCATTTCCTTGCTTGGTTCACCAGATAACTCTAGATAAATCAGATTGCATTGCTTGAATCCACCTATTGCAAGGTGTTCTCAACAGGTCTGAAAAGTAATAAAAAGTGAAAATCCCACAACAGGACTCAGATACAACCACCATTTTGTTATAAAACCCTTTGACCAAAAAATGACCGAGATCGTCTGCTGAGGAAAAACGTTCTCTTCTTCATCATCAGTCTACTGACCAAACAGGAAAGAGCCTGGATTGGCGCGCGCGGGAAAACGTAGACTTTGTTTCCGCTCGTGTAGACATATGACAAAGATATGTCGCCCTGCCGTCATGTTGTAGAGAAAAAGATTTGTCAGAGTTGAGCCAGTCTGGGGAACTCACCTCAGACCTCGTGTGCTATAGCACTCGAGAGATACATGTGGCAAAGCGAACTGGCAATAGCACAGGGGTGGTTGAGGAGAATGGCTGATGTTATCATAACCTGTTCAGTCAGGATTGATGTGCCATTTCATTCGGTAGAACTAATCTTAAGTTTCGACCACCGGTGCCAATGGACGGTGACAGTCATCACACCATTACAATCGTTTGTGTCTAGGCGATCCAGATTCAATTGTACAAATATATTCATTTCTTTTGTAAGCATAATCTTATCCGGAGTTTTTTGAACTCAGTATAACCTGATGATTCAGTGAAGTGGATTTCTGACTGTACTCTGTTTCTAATCGACACTTTATTTTTATGGATATAGAAAGCTCGCTTTTGCTATTTAAACGTATTTATGATAGAAGATTTGCTTTAAAGTACCGGTTTTGATATTTCGTTCGTTTCTATGAACGTCATTGATTCATTGATTCAATCCGTATAATTCATTGTATTTAAGAAAAAAGGCAGAAAACATATTCGTCTAAAAAGAAGCAAAAAAAAGTGTAAAAATGTTATCATGAACACGAGTCGTGCGAAGTGACAAACTCGCTTATGTAAATTTACTTTTCTACAGCAAGTTTACATTTCGACGTTCTATGAATAAAACGCAAAATTTAATCAGGGACATGTTGGCTCTTGAACGGGTGCAACTGTGCAACGAAATTGATGCTTTTTGCATTAATGCTGATATAAGGTGCTAAAAAATAAGCAGAACATTACAAATATTTGCATTATTTTAGAGTCATTAATACTGAAACTGAGATAATATTAACAGCGCTGTTTGCACGTAAGTGATTAAAGTTACATTTTTCATCTTTAACTGTCCATGTTTTCACAGAATTAGCAACGTTTTTTTTAAATCCATATGATCAGGCTTTATTTATGAATTAAAGAAACAATAACTTCTTGTTGCGATATACTTAGCTCTCCTTCAATATACAATGTATTGTTTATTGCACGACCCAATAATAGTATACGTTATGCTATCCCAAAACGCTCGTTAAAAACCAGATACATGTAATCCATCAGCCCCTGGACTCCCAATTGTTTTCTTTCCTTTATAGCGTTTTCACATACGTTTGATGTTATTAATTCATACACATACACATGTAACTATGCATCATTATCTAAAACATTTCTCTCCAACTTGGACGATCCAATTTAACTCTCTATTTTATTCTTGTCCTGATTATTTGGGTTATAAAGATTTTCATAAAAATATTATATTTCCCCGTTATTAATGGAGACAACATAGTATCATTTACTGTAGCAAAATTACTTACAAAAAAATACTAGTCTGAATATATGTATATATGTCAATACGCTAGACAGCTCCTAAATGAGAACCCCGTGTTGGATTCGCTGACTTTAGTAGAGTCAGTTGTTTCATTAATATCTGTATTCCTTCATAAAGAAGGAGTCAATGAAATTGTGATGCATACTAAAGTGATTATATACGGTAAAAGTTGTGATTTGAGATTTACGGATACTATATAGTCAGTAAAATGTATTGCCTGTTTAAATTAAATATATGTATATACAGCTAAGAATCGTGCCGTATTAAGGTGTAATGCAGCGCAGTTGTCTCATCTAAATGAGGAAAGCATGAAATTTAAAAAACAACAACAATGATATCATCAGAAGGAAATGTCATCTATTCATCGTTTGAACTCATTATGTTTGTCAAAACATTCATGGTAGATCAGAATATTACATGTGCCATGTATATCGAACCACTGACCGAATGGTGTATTAAACCTTGATACAAAAAGGGAAAAGGGCATGTCAATGCAATCAGTGCATAATCTGACGCTATGGACGCACCGCACCGTGTTGTCGTTAGAAGTGAGGTTTCTGATTTTTTTTTTTATTTTGCATGAAATTCTAATCTGATGTGGGAAAATAAATATTTATGTATGATTGTGTGAAATGTTAAATTATGTAAGGTTTTGTGTGAAGATATTTCAATAAATGAAAAAAACGCTTATAACGCTGTTACCTATGTGGATTTTTAAAAACTTTATAACAAGTAAATCAAACTAATACTTTGCAACGCAAGCTTTCTCATTAATTAAGACGCTTTATTTATAAGAAACATTAAAACGCGAAAAAATTGTTCCGAACAATTTTTGGTTTTCTACCACATTTTTAAATTCTTTTTTTTTATATCCATCATAATTTGTCAAGAATTCTTTAGAAAGAACGGTTGACTGAGCTCTGGTATTCTGTCACTTTAGCCCTAACACGTTTATTGATGTAGCATAATGCACACGATGACAGGTAAAACCAGTAAGCAAGATTATTGCAGCTCCACTTATTGAAATCTGAAAACAATCAAATCGCCCGTGTCTCTGTGATCGTAATCTAGTGATTCAGAAACGTTACAGCTATGTATCAGTTCGTGATTATAACCACAGAACCGGAAAACAAAACTCATTTATCGTCCATTTCTGACGGTCCTAGTTAAATGGAGGGAAGCCCAGGGTTGCCTTAAAAGAGAATTTGATCATTGACTTCCTTCCGTTACTCGCGATTGGGGCGCAATGAGTATGCTCGAGTTGCTCTACATAACCAAATGTTCCAAGCTTGACCGAAAAATTCGAATTTGGTCGGCTCCACGTTAAAAGCTTGTTGCAAGCAGTTTGTTACTGTGTAAAGGCTCTGAAGCCAGATTACTTTCATAGGCTGAATAGATATATATCACCGAGTAAGATAAATGGTGTACATGCACGTCAATAAAGCAGTGTAACATAAGAAACCTAGCCAATACGCCATCACTGGTATACACTGGGAGACGAGATGTGTTGAAAGTAATTCTATATACAATTTTTTCCATTTTCAAGTTGGCGTTTTCTTCATAAAGACAGAATAGCTCTCAGGGGGTTTGAGTTGAAATTGATCAAATGCCATCATTTGAGATGCACATAGCCGTTTACCAGCGACACCGTTATACACAAGATAAGCTCAAATATATAGAAATGCAGGCTTTGGGTGATTTAGGGCTGCTTGGAATGGAACAAAAACGATCTTCAAGAGAAAACCCATTCTTCAACAGTTTTGAATACGAGTAATCCTGATGGCAAGCAATCTAATGTTGCCGCTTGACTGGTCGTGAAATGAAAATTTTGATTTCCATTCCGCATTAACCATTTCCGATTTCCTCATATAAAGAGTGTACAGTCCGCGGCGCTGTTTGAGCGCAGGCCGGTGTAGTTACACAACTACAGGATTGGTAGAAGCTGTCAAAATTGCCATGTTCTGTTCTCAAGTTTACGTCAAACCTGTGTAATTTATCTCGAAAAACGACTCTACTGATACTATTTATCAAAATAAAAGTTTGTTTATATGCGAACAAAGAATTGCATTCATTGGATAGTATATATTATTATAAAAATATAGTGTATATCTAAAATTTCGTTCTAGTCACCTACTATCTACTTGAATTTCCTATTACTTGAGCAACCTAGAGAAAATGATTATTCTTGGCAGTAATAACTCTAATGGGTCTTTCGATATAGTGTTACATTA